CCCCCCCCCCCAAAATTTATGTTACAAGACGAAGAATGTATGGGAAAAAGTAATAGCAGCAAACTACCTGCATTAACTCTTTCTCCCGAGATGCCTTCCATTGACGAAATTGTTCAGCCTCTTGTTTAATCTTATGCTGCAATTGTACCTATAAAAGGAAAGAACATAAGTTGCATATAAGTGGTAGAAAGGGTGTTAAGCAAACGAGAAATGTAAACCAACCTTTTGTGCCTTGATTGATTGTATTTCATCTTGCAAGCGCTTTGCTGCGTCATCACTCTTCTGTTTTTGCTTTAAAAGCTGAACCTGGTTCTCTTGTTTTTTCTTAAGATCTTGTATCTGGTCGGCAAACATGTTTAAGATATTAGAGTTAAGCATGATACTCATGGCTATACAATGGAACATGGTACAATTGGGCAGACCTGTGCTTCAAGGGACTTTAGTTTCTGGGAATGCGTGTCTTGCAATTTTAGTGCTTGTCCATCATTGTTGGCTGCAAGGTTTTCAACCTCAGCTAATAATCTATCTCTCTCTTGCTGCATCAGCAGGTCAATTGAAAAAGGGAACATCAGTTTGACAAGCTCAAAATGACAACGTGCGATCACATTTTCATTGCTTTTCTATTACCTGCACCGCTCTTTTCTCCTCTTCAAGTTCCAAAAGTTTCTTTCCAAAATGTTGCTTCAGTGCCATGGTGTCCAAGCCTCCATAAAGTTTCATTTCAGACTGAATTATTGTTGCACAGATATATATGTCAAATCACCACATGCATCAAAGATAGGAAAATGAGCAACCATAGAAGGTTACCATCTAAGAGAACTGCACAGCCAAGAGCACTATCCCATGTTTAAATTCTATATTCGCAATTAATATTTTTGATGAATAACTATTTCACAATTAACTGCAAGGCATACCAAAGAAGAAACATCTAAACACGAGTTTACTAACAGCAAAAGCCAAAGCATTAATAATAGAAGTTTAAAGTCGCTATTGCAAATGCGAAAATCAAGTAAAGGACGTGGAATCCCTAGTAGCCTCCCTGGTCCATGTGAGAAGGGGGGGGGNTATTAGCCCAATTTTAGCTTTGCTGCTCCTAATGGATATTGTTCTTAACCACACTGATTAATGATGGGCGTCTTTAATGAATGCTAGCACTTCCCTTTAATAGGTTAATCCCCCCCAAAAAAATATGCACAGGAACAGACAATTTTAAACGATAACAAATTGGTTTAATGTTAAGAACATCTACTTTGCTTTCAAGAGTCTGCCTTACCTCTTTCTGCTCTAAGCGCCTATTTAACTCATTCAATTCTTTGTCCATTGTGTCTTGCAGGAGGGTATGTTCCCACTCCTTTGCTGCTTCTTCATCCATATCTCCTGAATCACCTGGCAGTACAGAGACTGGCTCCAAATAAGAATACTGAAACCACTTCAACATTTAGATTTTAAATTCTTAAGACAATGAAAATTGCTTTTCTTCCTGAAAACATCCCAGTTCAAACATAGTCATCGGAATATATACCTCGTAACCTAGTACAAAAAGTTGAGAGTGACGCACCATTTTCATTCATTGGATAGTCAGATGACTCTATACTTTGCAAGCCCCTTTTGAGGCCTTCGCTTTTTACTGAAAAGACACCATTAGCCTGAAATAGAGATGAAGAATTTGTTAAGCAACTAAGTTGGATGAGAATTCCTCTTCTTTTTTTTTTCTTTTTTTTTTTGATAACCGAGACAACCCCGGGGACCAGTGACTCATTGTTCGAAACTCGGTGGATAATGGGCCCGCCCCACTACCCTTCTTCGCTTAAATACCAGTTACCAGACTTTTTGTCTGTGGTAGCGTTCGAACCCGTGACGTGCGCCTAGCCGCCTACTAAGCCACACATCACAAGTTGCATTCCTGCCACTAGACCAAAGCCCTGGGGGCTTAAAATGGCTTCTACAAGTGAGGGGAGCTCAATGTATACCTTCACTTCAGTTCCACATTGCTCAGTGCCAGAGCCTCTTCTGCGGTACTCATGCAGTTCTCTGCTTAGCTCCTCATTACTAGCTTCAAGCCATGAAATCCTATCCTTGAGTACCTAGACATGAAATTTCAAATTGAGATCTCCATTGTCATTTAGTGAAGACTGAAGATGATCCAGAGCTTTATTTAATATTTAATTAAAAAGGTAGTATGCTGACATCTACACCCGAGCACAACAAAAATTTACCTGAATCTCAGATGAAGCACCTCCCCCACGGGCACAGAGTTCTGCCTGCAAATACTCTAGTTGTTGCCGCATCTTCAGCATCTCACTAGATACAGGATCTCGATTGATCTGGACATAATTTAAGGAAAACTACTTAATTCTTGATCCAGAAATGATAAGAAGATTCATGAAATAAGGTTTGTCACTAGACTTACAACTGGCTTGTTCTGAATATTGCGAGCCCGATTTGCATATTTAAGAGTGTTCAAAGTTTCTTCAGCATTTATATCAGCAGGACTAATGCATGCTGGAAAATACATAAACCATAAGCAAGAATACAAAAGGAATCTGCTTGTCGCAGGACAAGGCATGGAAACATCTCAAAGGCTGGCAAGAAAGAAGGATAACAACTCTAATTAAATAAGATACAACTACTGATTGTTACTTTAGATAAGCTTTAGTTCATTCTTCCAAAGACCACTTTTATTTCCTTAGATTTTTTCTCCTTTTAATTGATAAGGTAAGATGTCTTCATAAAATTGTGTTATCATGAGCCAGATAAATACACCTCATGAGGTGTGCCAAACGCACGTGATTCCTTATCGTAATCATCCACATATCACCCACCCACAGCTAACAGGCTTGAAAGCAATACAACAACAACAACAAAAAGAACAACAACAACAACCCAGTAGAGCTGGGCTCTAGGGAGGGTAGTGTGTACGTAGACTTTACCCCTACCCTGGGGTAGAGAAGTTGTTTCTGATAGACCCTCGGCTCATCTCAAGAAGATGAAAAGAACAATAGATGGCTTGAAAGCAATGAGGGGAATTAAACAACCAATTTGGAAAGAAGTTAAACTGATGTCAAGGTCTGTGTTCAATATCATAATTTACCTAGAAGAATAAAGAAGAGGCTTTCACCTAAATCTAAAGAGAAACCAAGCTTGTGCAAGTCATTAGAAAATGCAAGCTTTGCAGTCTCCGAAGCAAAAGATCTCTGAAGAGCCACTTCATTATCCAGTGAACAGAAACAATTTAGTGTAATCAACTGCTGCTTAAATGCTAAAACTGTGACGTGCATTCATGATCAAAGAAATCAACTAGAGCGTTCATTTCGAGAGTGACAAACTACTTATTAGAAAATCTGTTTGGCAGTTTAGCATGGTTTATTCTAGGTCCAGAAGAAAGTATATAGTTAATATCACTAAGTCACGGTCACAATGCTTTCTTTGGCAAGACTTAAGTGTAGAAAAGTTCAGAAAGACTGACACACATAATAGGTTATGCACTATGCTATTCACAAACCATTCAAACTAGAAAGAATAAGGGGTTAAAACTGGAATTACCAATCATGACTGTCCGACTGTTACCACCAAGTGAATCCTGTCATTTGCCAAAAACACTTCATTAGAAAAAATAAACAAATAACTAAATAAATAGACTATAAAATCAACAAGGGAGAAACAAAAAGTCCAAAAAAAAAAAATCAACTTTAAAAGATGATGATATTACCAAATCCTAAAATAACAAGGCGCCCTAATATTGTATTATTGCCAAACTCAGCCCACAATTTTCGCAGTGTTCATTTTCCAATTTAATTCCTTTCCAACGAGATGACTTCTTCTTTTATGTGATAAATTCTCCAGTGAGAAAAACTTATAACTAAGGCCAGCTGACATTTTACTATTACAATAAAGAGTACCAAGGAGCAAGGATTTCGGGGAACCTTTCAATATTAGAAATCTGATTACATCACAGGAAAAGGATTGGACTTATTCAGATTGGATGTTGGAAAGATATTCAGGAAACTATTTATTATCAAGATTGCATCATAACTATCAACAAATTGGGAAGCATGAGGTGCCCCTGATGTCAATGACCATTTTAAGAACAAACAGGAGCAAAGATAACTCATTTGACCAAATGAGGCAAAAGCTGCTTTTGGATTACTTTGATCAAATGAGTTCTCTTCACACCCGTTCGTTCAGAGCTCCAACATATAGCACACAAATGAGGAGATGCTCAGACAGAAATATGAAATGTTTTTCCCAATTCTTAGATCTGGTTCTCCTTGTGTTTAATATTTTAGTGACTTGATGAAGTATTGGAACAACCTAAAACATGGAACCATGTCAAACCTGCAATAGCCGGGTGAGTTTACTGTCTCGATAAGGAACATGGACACCTTCTTTCCGCTTTTTCTCATCCCCAAGTGCACTAATAACATTTCCAAGTGCAAGAAGGCCTTTATTAATGTGAACTCCTGTGGTGGACAAGTAGGTCAATAACCGACATGAAAGAGACACTTTCAAAGACAGGAAGAATGTTAAAACAAGAACCTTCTTTGAAACGGAGACCATCTGATCCCGTTCGTTTTGCTCGCTCTGAACCAGCAAGATCTACCAAATGCAGCTTGGCACAAAGATATTCTTCAGTCATGCATTCATTGCTGTGGCCGTCATTAGAACTAGTCTTGCGCATCTGCTCCACTGTAATGGTGAATATGGCATGAGAGCGACTGAAAAAGTGAAAACAAAAAGGGGATAAATATTTACAAATAATTTAACAGAAAGAATGCATCTTTCACGAGTCAATACTCGGTCCTTCAGGACACAAGCAACAAAAACTGGATTTAAGAACTCTCCCTATTAGTTTGCTTGTATTCTTTCATTCGTGTTAATAAATTCATGTGTCAAAGTCTTACGCGTTTAAATAATTTCTTTCTTAACAAAGGACCAAGTTCATTTGTAAATTATCAGAACATTATAACTATGCTTCAGTCTCAAAAAAGTTGGGGTCCGCTACATGAATCCTCACTTCTTCATTTAAGCTCAACTCATATCGTCATTTATATGCACAAAAGTTCACCGACACTTCCACCCAACCCCCCAAAAAAAGAAAATTAAAAAGAAAAAAATTAATGTCAGTTTTTTTCTTTTTGAATTTAGGAGTTTCATGTGAAAGTATATCATTTTTTTTTTTGAGATGGATGAGAGTATATCATGTTTCAGACCAAAATAAGCAAAGGAGGAGAGAGTACACTATACAATTAACTAGGTTCCAACCTTGATTGGTTATTCATGTTTGTACTGCCTGTGGCCCTGCTAAGAGATCCTTGCTCCAGGCAATCAGCCATTTCTTTGAGTGTTCTCACACTGCGTTCGGTGGATCCTGCCAATGTAATAACACCATTTGAAGATTCACGAATTTGTATTGGGGGTTTCCCAGGAATAGCAACTTTTCCATTGTGTCCATTTGTTGTCTCTGATCTGTTAACAGAAATAGCATCCAGCAAATCTCGTACTTCTTCTTTGTGTATCTGGAAAAAGAATTATCTTAGTAAAAATGCTGCATAAGTACTGTCACAAAGTATGTGTAACATCACTCAAATAAAAAATATATCTGGTCTATACAAAGAACAAGATGATAGGGGGAAAAAGTTAGCTTCTAGAAATGATGTTTGATCAGTCTATAGGTTCCAAGTAAAGAGAATTGAAAGCAGACTATTGTATGATGCTGCATTGACAAGAAACTACATATTTGAACAATTAACACAAAATCCAATATCATCTAACTAAAAGAAATCGGGAAAATGCATAATCCATGAGCAAAGTCGATCCTGTGCAGAGTTGCCAAATGCAGCATGAATTTGGACTTGATGTACACTTTGAGTCCATCATGGAAGTATAACCCTACTATGGCTAAATCCTAATAGAAGCCTACGCCCTCAATTAACAAAGTCCCTCAGCTTTCTTATCAATTAGTTCTTAAGTGATCTTAACTACACCAAAAGAAATAAGTGCATCAGTTTAGGGAACATAAGAGCTATCTACTAGAACATTGAGGATGCTTCGGTTTCAAAAGCAGTTTGCTCGGACAAATACTCGCCAGGAACTGAAATGCTTAAAGCATCAACAAAATGAAAAAGGAATCACAGGAAAAATTTTAAGGGCATGTGTAGGTTCAGTGAACTTAAAATAAAACAAAAGAAAAGAAATGAGTTACTAAACCTCGATAAAAGACACATGCAACTGGAATTCTGCCTGATGCTTCAAAGCCTCAACCTTGTTGAACAAAGAGTTCATAACTTGGGGAATTAGTCCAGTTTGGAAACCATCTTTGAAACCGGTGCCCATTGTGTATGTTTTCCCCGAACCTGTCTGCATTGTATTGAAATGTAAATTGAAAGAATATGGAAAAAAAAAGCCTGAATTTAACTATAGCTTCTATTACAGACCTACACTTCTGGTATACCAAAATGATTTACCTGGCCGTAAGCAAGAACGGTGGCATTATAACCTTGGAACAAACCATCAACAAGAGGAGCCACACACTCCTCATACATGGCAGCTGAGGGAGAAGCAGTGCTCCCGTAAACATGATCAAAAGTAAAGGAATGTGTTCCAATTTGCACCTGCAAGCCCAACCAATTATCAGAAGTGAAGGTCATTAGAAAGCAGCAGCATATTAAATTAATTAGGATAAAAGAGACTGAAAAGTGGTAATTATTAATTATCAATATGGAGAAAGAACTCAGTCCAATCTATGAAGTTTAAGCTTTTTACATAAACAAAAATAGTGGCATAAGGGAATTAGTTCACATGCATGATTCTTTTGGAAAGCCTTAATCTTTACCCAGGTGAGTTGTATTGCAGTTCCTATACAATAGAAAACTACAAAACTCAAGAAGAAAAGTCAATTGCAGATCCAAATGAAACAAACAAAAAAAGTTTAAGGAAATAGGATTTTAGTCCATGTATGAAACCCTGATAGCACCAAAAAAAATAAAAGTTCATTTTCCCCAATTTAGAGCCACACTTGAAACATTCAAACAAAAATTAAATCCTTAGAGTCAAGTCCTTTTCACCTTCCCTCTCCTCACCCCACCCAAAATGTATTAAGAAGAAAGAAATCAAAGAAAATTGGATTAGCATTCTTCAATCAGGCAGATGGAATGTTAGATTCTTCGACATTTTTCGTCACAAACTATCAGAGTAAAAACTCCAATTACAGAAACACTAGGTTTAAACTAAAACATGCAGAACCCATAAGGTCCATAAAAAGCAATTAAGCATAAATTTTTTAGAGCTTGAGTATCACAATAAGATCCAGATCTCCAAAAAATCTCCAATTCAGTCCAAAAATGCTAAATCTGAAGAATCACATTAGAGTACCTGAGGCTTGTTAGGGACGACAGAGACACAATCTTTACAACCCTGAAGTTTCTCATCTCCAATGAGTGGCCTAATATGAACTGCCACTTTAACACAACAATCTTCCCCAGTAGCAGCTTCCATAAGAAAATTCTCAAGAAAAATAATACAGTGAAAAGAAATGAAAGTGGGAAAAACAGTTAGAAGAAGAGAANAACAATCCTCCCCATTAGCTGCTTCCATAAGAAAATTCTCAAGAAAAGAAAATAATACAGTCAAAGAAATGGAAGTGGGAAAAACAGTTAGAAGAAGAGAAGATTGTTTTTTCACGGAATTGGAAAGGAAGTATTAAGAGACCAGAAAATGATACAACAACAGCAGCTAATTGAGTCGGTGAGGAAGAAAGAAAGCTAGTTATTCACACTTGGGAAAAAAAATGTAAGAAGATTGAGAAAAGGGTAGTTGAGGGAATAGAGAAATGAAAATGGGTGTATGGAGGAGTATTTCAGAAGATGGAGATTGTGACACTGGTTGAGTATGTGTGCGTGTGTGTTAGTAGTGTAACAACTATGACAACTACCACTTACATAACATCTTCTTTCTATTTTCTTTTTCTTTTCATTTTTTCCCTTTTTGTTGTTTTATTTTTAGCTTAATTATAGAAAGTACTCCATACCAATTACAATAATGCAAAATTTTCACTTGTTGCGTATCTATAGCAGTTGTACAGATTACATAACATTTTGCCAAGTAATAACACACACTTATTATACACAGATAATAATCATTAAAGATTATGATTTATGATGGAAAGTATAAGATTCATTTATCATTAAATAGAGTGATTTCATGTTTAATGGTGCAAATACGAATTGATTAGTTTCGGATACCTGACACCAAAATAGAAAATTAAAAAAAATATGTTACGATTATCAATACAATCTAATTGATTATTACTCCAGTTTTAGATTATAATTTGGTCTTGATATGGAGAGTTTCCTCTTATTATATTATAGGTCAAAATTCAATAGACAACTTAATCTGATAATATAATTTTTTTTATTACTACAACATGTGACGGCATAATTTTTAAGTAAAATAATATTCATATATATATATAAAATAATTTTTAATGATATATATGAATTTTTTAAGAAAAATTGAATTTTATTTTTCTCTTCTTTTTTAGTTGTCTTGGTCTTCACTACAAATAATGCACAGAAGCCCAGACGGTTAGTCAGGAAGGAGTAATGGCTTCCAATGCTTAACATGTCAGAAGAGAAGACTTAAGAATCACTCTTTCCGAAAATGCCCTTGGCGGCTTTCGCGACTTTGCAACGGCTTCTTACTGATTTCCCGTCAAAAACAGTTGTCCCTTCTACTTTTGGTCGTTATTCTATTTACACTTTTGCCCCTTTTCTCTTTCTTCTATTTCCTCTTGATTTTTCTTTTTAATTTTAAACTATTTCATGGCCAATATACAAGTATGTATCACGTCTAAAAAGAAGGACAGCGTTCTAATAGAATAGAATCCCAGAAAATGGTAGAAAAGAAAGGTGCAACACAGCGCAAGGCCACGTGATTTGGAATCCTGTGTACGATTACTAGGTAGATGTTGTTTTCATTCGGCTTCTAATATTTTATATTTTTCTTTTATTATATTTTTTACATGTCTATATGTCTACCATAAAAATTCTATAGCCTAGCAGTTGTGGACCCACATAAGTTCAAGGATAATAATTATATTATTCATTAAAAAATTATACAATATACGTTTTGTTAAAATACTTTTTACATATATATTAGATCTTAAATACTCTTAATTAAATTCTTGGTCACTGATCACGAGATCTTCAATATCTAGTTAGTATTTCTACTTCCTATTAGGACTAGTATAAGAGCCAAAAAAAAAAGTATTCAACTATATTCATGCATGTTGTTTGACCCAAAAGATTTTGAAACCTTTTTGATTAAATTAATTAAATAAGATAAAAGAGTAAATCTCAAGTATAATAAACTCTAGAATGAGAAACATAAGGGATGAACAAGGTAAATAATATTTATTGATCTCGTGAAACTGAATGATTAAGCGTAAAAGAACAATCACCAAGAATGTAGAATAAATACTGTAATGGATGCTCTTAGTCGAAAGTTTCTTCCCCTTACAAGGTTTTTTTTCCTCACTATATATAAGGGACAACCCCGTTCTGAACCCTAGGAAACATATCATAGGGAATATTCGAAGTATATTCCTTAAGCCTCCTGTTAGACCTACATTACTGCGAAAGTCATGCGTCATCTATCCGCTTGTTGGTCGTCATCGTCTTCCACAGGACGTCGTGTTGTAAAGATCTCATCTTTTGTCATATTGGTCAGTAGCCATGGTCGTCCAAATTTGGACCCATACAGTTAGTCCATCCGCTTGTCGAGGTTGCGGCTTGGTGCGTCCTCGATAAGCGGACATCGCCCATACCTATGGAGAAATTTGGTTTTATGAAACACCATGACTTGGCCAACAACGAAAGGTTAGCATGATCAACGATACCCCTGGTGGTGTGTCTTATCGGGAAATGACGTCACTTCCACGTGCGTCATCATTATGCGTGTTTTCGAGACAGGGGTGGAGGGCTTGTCGCTTCGATTTCGGTGCCATTCTACAGCCTTCCGCTTCGATTCTGGCGCCACCCAATCCTATAAATAGGGGGAGGGTTTGTTTTTTCAAAAAATCTTGGTCATTTCGTCTCTGGTTATTCTTTCTTATCTCTCTCATGTTTTCTCCAACGATTCCTCTGCTTCCTTTCTTCCAATCTCCGTTCTTAGCTTTTTTTTTCTATTACATTAACACATTTTCCGTCGTAGAGATGCCTAGAACACATCGATCTTGTGAGGGGGTTTCCAACGCCACCCCATTGTCCATGGCGCCCCACCCCCCTCTCCCGATGGTGAGGACATGACGATGGAGGAAGGGGATAGCTTTCCTACCGTGGAGAAGTTATTGCCGAGACACCCTATGTCTCGAAGCGACTTTCTTAAGGATCCTCCTCCTACTCCTGCCCCCATACTCTCTGAAACTGAGCAAGTCCATATCGATGCTCTCCTTGCAAAATATAACATTCCCGCTCATATTGAGATGGTTCCAGCGAGAAGGGGCTTCGTGGAAGTTCATAGGCCTTGGTACTGTGCTTTTTATGAGTACCCATTCGTGATTGGTCATTCCTTCCCCCTTCTCCCGTTAGCGGAAGAATTCTGCCGATTTTATCAAGTTTTCCCAGCGCAACTTTCCCCGTACACGCTCAAAATACTCCTGTTGTTGACAAAATACGCTGAGTTGGCAGGGTGCGAGGTTACCGTTCACCACCTTCTACACTTGTTTTCTCCCAGATTTCATAGGGGTACTATGGTACATCTGAGGCACCGTGGGATAAAAGGGTTGGTGGTCGGAACCGATGATCGGGCGAGTCACAAATTTTAGCATAAGTACTTCTTCGTCAGAACTGAGCACATCGTGTCTGACCCCGCTAGATTTTCGGAGCGGTGGAATGAGAATCGTAAGTGTCGCCACTTGTTTACTCTTTCTTTTCTTCTTCATTTACCTTAGTGTTTATTTGTTTCTCGTTTGCAGCTATGGGGTGCCCACCTCACCCTATTGCAGGTATAAGGGATTGGGTAGCCCGTCTGTTGTCCCATGCAGTGGAGACTAGAGACTGGCATGTTTTCGTGATGCGCTTTGGGCCGAAAGTTTCATTTGGTAAGTATCCTCCTTTGTATCTCTCTACGACTATATACCGTCGTCTATTGATATGACTCTTTATGATGATAGGTCGTGGAGCTTCTAGGTGGAGGGCCCTAGTCCCTGCATTTCGTCAAGTTGTCGCCTCCGCAGGAATGCAATTCACTTTGGATGAGTCCGCCCGAAAGGGTCATGTTCAGTTGGTACAGGCGAGGGAAACCTCTCGTGATATGGTCGTGAGGGGAGAGATCCCTTTTTTACCAGTCCATCACCTCGTGGATGAGTCCTCTAATGGGGATGAATCTTTGTTGAGAAAGAAGAGAAGGATAGAGCTTGGGAAGAGCGTGGACGTTGATACCGGTAAGAGTAGGACGGGTGCATCGGAGACAACACCGGTACCCACGTTTATAGCCGATGCCATCTTGGCGGGGAGGTCTCCTCAAACAGAAGGGGTTTACCAAGGAGGTGGTTCTGTGCGCTCCGCTGAGGGTAGCGCATCGTTTAACGTCGGAGGGGGCCTACGCATCGAGGGCGAAGGCTCGGGCTCGGATGTCAACACGGGGGATGTTCGTGAGCTTTTAGAGTGTCACACTCAAGTAGAGGTCAAAGTGGAGGGTTCTGATCGACACGTAGTTGTCCCTAGGGATTACAACTTGTTGTCGGACTGTGATCAGGTGGCATCTGCTTTAGCTCCTTTATGTGTTGCCCCTGAGAATGAGGCACTTAGAACGATGAGCAATATGGAGCTATCCCGGAGCATCTCTGGCATGGCCCTACGGGTAGATATCTTTCTTTTTATTTCGTCGTTGGGTTCGTGTTATTGTTTTTGGTCTGTCTTTTTGTTTTAACTTTACTTTTGTGCCAGACCTTTATCATGGAGATCGAGCGCGAGCGTCAGGAAAAGAGGAGGACACCCCTCTATGGAAATATGTCTTCTAAATATCAAGAATATCGCACCAAGCATCATGCGATGGCCGACAACTACAATCAGGATCCTACTTCCAACTATTCCGCGAAGGGCTCAAGTAGAGGGAGGATCAATTGGCGCGTAAGGTCGAGGATTTGAGGGAACGAGACGAGGACCTTATGAAGTCCATCGCCCGTAAGAGTGAGCTTGAGGCATCCCTTAAAGTGAAGGAAGATGAGCTTGAGCTAAGTAGGGGGTAATGGCTAAGAATGTCGACCTCCAAGCAAAGGTGGCCAATTTAACTGCCGAACTGGATATGAAGACGACGAAGATCAATGAGCTTAAAAGTGAGCTGGGCGTGAGTGCCGATAGATTGGTGACTGTTGTCTCTGAGGTGGCGGTTTTTGAAGATGTCCTCTGTGTTTGTAGGTCAGAGCGGACCAAGGAGAAGGAGGCGTTCGCACTTAAGATAGCGGGGCTTGAAGGGCGTGTTCAAAGGTTGGAGGCGGAACTGTCCGCATTGAACAAGCAAATGGATTCTTTGAAAGCGAAGGACACACGACTACAGTCGCATCCTTCTACATCTTATGCTCCAGCTGATCCTGTCGTGACTCGATGTCTATATAAGTTGTGGGTTCACGCCGAGGCTCAGCTCGATGTGTACAAGGCTCTTCATGTTGATGGGAGGGCGTCTGAAGTGGAGCTTCAGGATATACGTATCAAGTCTCATGCAGCTCGTGAGGGATGCAGGTATGATCCTCTTACGCCTGACGGAAATGATATCTATTCAGATGATGCGAATAGACTCGCCTCTGACTTTTGGTACGAAGACGTGTATGCCATCGGGAATGATGTGTAGTATTTGTTTTGTACTTACTTTTTGTTTCGCGATTTTTGTAAGGGCGTCTTTGAGCCCTCTG